TTAAAAGTAATTTTTAATAGGTAATTTTTATTTAGTAGGGAGAGAGGATGGGAACCTGAATTGTGGAACTTGCTATCAAGTTGGGCTTAAGTCATGCGGGTGACTTGATTCAGGGCTTGTTTTCAATGGCTTGGGCCTGACTCCTGACTGGGACCCCCCTTCCCCCCCATCCCTCCTTTCATTTCTTGTTTTTAATAGGGACTCAGGCTTGGGACTTGGGACCAAAGGCTCAGACTTGGCCGTGAGATCTGGACCCAAAGACTTGCCGACACCTCAGGCCGTGAGGGAAAGCTGTCCTGCTCTCCTCCTCAGCCGCGTTTTTGGAAGAAACTAAAGGGCGATGCGGAAGGTGGGGGGGATATGAGAGGAGAAATGATGATCCTGGACAAGTTCTTGGAAGATATCGATAGTGGCACTTGTCCTTCTTCCTTATTTGCATCAGAGGACTGCACAATCTAAAATTATGGGCTTTTACGAAATGTAGGTTAAAAATGAAAAGTTTGGAAATTATTGTCTTTTGTGGTCCTAAAAAGGACGGCTCGGTCATTTTGCTTATCGGCAAGTTCGCCGTGTAACACTTCTGGAAGCGAAGGACTGGCCGGCTGTCCCAAGGGATGCCCAGGTGTGTTCACGCAATGCTTTCCGCTCTTTGGAGAGGTTCTTTCTGTGTCCCCCCCTCCCTCATTATGCTTACGGAGGAAGTGGAGAACATTCTTGCACCTAAATGAATTGAGATTCTGAGGAACGTTGTGAGTGTTATGCTCATGCGCCTTTTAAAAATGTAGTTCTGCTGTTGTTGTTTTTTCCTGAGCATTTGGTATCTAAATGGGTGACACTGTGATTTTTTGACCTCTCTTTTCCTCCCCCGCTCCATCAACTCTACAGGGGTATCTCTCCAATGTCAGTTTTGTCAGGACACGAGCGCAACGTGTACAACTGAATCCACTCAGGAGTGTCAGTCCAGTCAGGACGTCTGTGTTTCGGCTGTCTCAGAAGTCACCATGAGTAAGTGGGCTGATGCGTCTCTCCTACAGCCGGACATTTCTGTCAACCACAAAACGATGGGGGGGGGGAAAGGAGCCACCCTTTGACTTGGCATGTGGGCTAAAGCTTCTAAGAATAGTGATTCTGATTTATGGTGACCTTTTCCTGGGTTTTCTAGGTAGAAAAGACTCAGGTTTACCTTTCCCTTCCTCTAGGGGGAGCCCCGGGAGTGTGCAGCTGGCCTGAGGCCACACAGGTTGGCTCTTCTCCAGAGAGGCCCGGTGGGGATTTGAACTCGCAGCCTCTGGGTCTGCAGCCAGATACCTAAACCTGTGGGCTATGCAGCGAGACAGTATTGTGAAACAAACTAAACAAATAAGAAGAATGCCACTAATTGGTTTGCAAGCAAACAGAAATTTGACATAATTATAGCATCTTCTCTGAAAAGAAGCTTCTTGGGATCCCCAGGAGACCAAAACTGGTCTGACTGCCCCTCCATCACTCGTCATTTCTGTCCCATTCTTTCCCTTCACAGATGGCTTGAGGGTCTCCTTGTCTTTCAAATCGTGCCTTGACCATCGGTTCTGCCAGGCAGGCTTTTATACTGCCAGTGTGGAAGAAGATGTTCCCATTCAGACCCAGATCACCTGCTGCCAGGAGGACCAGTGTAACCGCGGGGCTCTTCAGTGTAAGCATTCCCACCCATCTCAACCAGAGAAAGAAATCCGTGGATCGGGAGGACTGGGTCACTTCGGCTGGGAGTCCCAGAATCCAAAGCTAGACTGGGTTAGGAAGATGTGAAGCCTGAGTGCTAAAGGAATCCAAGTGCCCTACAATTAATTCGTTTCCCCTCTCGCCATGGAGTTCCTCAAGAGAAATTGTTCAGCAACCAGACATGGAAATTAAGTCCATATTTACCTGCCAATGACCAATCAGAAAACAGAGCATGCTAAGTGCAAGGTATGGAGAGGGCAAACATACGCAATGGCAAACCGGTGTCTGTCAACACTTCATGGAGCACTTCTGTACCTCATCTCATTCGATCCCCACATACCTTTTGACAGGCATGTTGACATTCGAATGTGTCCCCTCACCTCTCTACAGCTGGTGTGTGGTAGGAAGCCCAGTACAGTGAAAAGCTATATCTGAAGAAGTGGGTTGTACTCCACCAAATCTCATACAAAATTTTTTAGTCTTCAAGGCATCCCGATTCTTTTGTTTTAATTTTGATTTTTGTTTAAAAGGCATCCCTAAGAGTAGTGCCCAGCTATGGGCTTCAAGGGCCCTGGGGTGTTCCAGGAATCCCTAGGCAATGATAGAACCCCATGATGCAGTATCATTCCCTGGGTCATTCTGAAGGAGCAAAATGGCCACAGGAAGAAGACCACAGTCAAGAAAATATTTTATGTCTTGGAGGAAATGAGGTCTTTAATGTTGGGGGGGGGGGAATTGAAAAAAAATGTTTGCCCCAACCATATCTAACTGCAATGGCCATTTTTTTTTCCCACCAGTACCTGATCCGAAAAAGCTGGTTGCCAATGGGTTTCAATGCCCCGGCTGTTTTTCCATCCTTTCAGATCGCTGTGGCAGTAAAGGAATGGACAGCTGCACACAGAAAGAAGACCACTGTTTCAACCTGGCTGGTTCCATCAAAAGAAGTAAGTCTTGTGAGATGATAGAGAGCATGAGTCTCCCTTTCTTTGTCCTCTCTGTCCAAAGATGTTTCGAGTAGTGTTCGCTCCTTGCGCGCAAGTACCACATACAGAGAGTTTTGGCACTCCAGATGTGTTACACTACAACTTCCAGCATCCTGTCTGTACTGCCAGTGGCAAAGGACTATGGGAGTTGTAGTCCCAAAAAAAATTGAAGTGCCAGTGATTCACCATGCCTGGACTACTACCATCTTTTCCAGCAGAGAACTGAACCTGGAATGTTTGCAGGCAAGACTAAGACTTTGCCACTAAATGAATGAATACTCTACATATTTCCAACAGCATGAATTATAATTGTGCATCTTAGATAGCTTTTTTTTAAAAAAAAAATTATTTCCCAAAGAATATCTTCTTTCCTAACAGGCATTTTGAATGGGAGGAGTGCTTTCCAAGGTTGCACGACAGCCAAGGCATGCAGCTTCAAAAAGGAAGCAGTAAAGGCAGCAAATCAAGTTTTTGGAGCCCAGATTTCCCAGACTGCAAACCGGCAGAAAAAGTTTCTCCCCCCGCCCCGAGAATCGTAGAATGAAGAAAATGAAGACATCCTGAATGTAGAACATTGTCTAGTGCTGAAGACCAGAGAGATTTCAATAAGAGGACTGGTTGCTCTTGGTGGCTGCGCTGAGCCGCTGTGACTGGCATTGCCAACTTTTTTAGCAGCCTCTGCTCCTGGAATGACATTTGTCTGCTGTGTGAATGCTCTTGAAAGAAACAGGCTGTGGGACGATAGCATTTGCACATTGCAAGCTGGGTTTGGATGCAAAGTTGATGCACACACCCTCTAACTCAACGCGGGGTGCAAGGGAATGGACAATTGTGGACAATTTCAATAGGATATCACTGCCCTCTATCGGGGAGGGAGACCCATTGCAGGGAGAACCAAGTCCTGTGCACAGAGGATACTTGGTGGTCAAATGTCCTGCAGCCAATAGCTTTGCAGGGTTGTACAATGGAGGTGGTGGTTTTTTTTTTTTCCTATGACAAAAGGAAGGGGCAAAGGAACCTCTGTTTGCCAGATAAAACTCGTAATGTTTGGAAAATATCATCTCTTGATTAGTTAAACAATTCGCAATGAAATTTCATTGTTCTACCAGCAAGCTCAGGGAGAATCGCACGGCTTCCTCCATTATCCTCACAACATCTCTTTGAGGTAGACGAGGCAAAGAGAATATGACTGGCCTGGAGATCTGAGCCAAGATCTCCCAACTCAATACTCCTTTTCTGACAACAACACACTGCTAGATAGCTCAGTGGTTCAGTTCTCTGATTGTGGAGCCAGAGGTTGGGAGTTCGATTCCCCCACTGTTCCTCCCTGTTCAGGGCCGGGCTTGATGATCCCTAGGGTCCCACCAGCTCTACAATTCTAAGATGATGATGATGCATTTACTTATGCATCACCTCCAGAGTCGATCCTGCAGCCACACAGAGAGCACATGGTTATAGTACTGGAAAAACTGCTCACCCTTTTCAGCTCCATGATTTGTTCAATTGTGAGACTATATCTCGGAACCCAAGGGAAAATTTACAAAGGACAGGACGAGCGTGTTGCGCACGTCATATGGATGTCGTTGAGTCCTAAGAATTCCGGTGAGGAATCCTCTACTTTCTGAGACCAGTATTCTGTTGCTAGACACTATTTGAGTCAACCCATTGACTGAGTGGGATTTACATAAAGTGTTGGCTTATCATTGAGACTGAGGTTAGAAACAGAATTTGGGTCAAAGCATTTTTGTTAAAAATGGTCAAAACTGGGATCCAGAGGCACCCCAGACCTTACCATACTGTTAACAACAAGGCTGTGAATCCATTGAATAAAATCATCCAAATACACATGTTTCAGTTCTGGGAAATTTGTGTGGTTGTTTCCTCCCACCCTCCCCCTGATGAACAGAAGCTTAGGTTTTAAATGATGTAAGTTACTTTGAATCCCCGTTATGAGAGAAAGGCAAGGTATAAACCCAGTAAATCGAATAAATTTTAAAAATAAGCAAAAATGGTCATGATCGCTGCTAAAGTAGTGAATTGCATTCTTTTAAATGCATGATTATTAACAGGCATCCTGCCCACCCCACCCATGGCTTCTTCCAGAGTCATACACCAGCCTACAAGAATCTGTACAAATTAAAATGGAATGCACCCCCTTGCACACAACCACACCCTCTGCTAATTGTTGTGCAGCAAAGGGATCACAACGAATCCGATTCTGCTTTTCTGCTTACAGATCTGACCTTAATCTCCCTGGCCTGGCATAGGATAATCTTTCTGGTTGGACCTGTTCATCTAGATTCTTGGTATCTGATGCACCTCGGCATTATATGAGCCGGTCAGTTCCATTTGCAGGTGAACGGTTTTCAAGAACAAAAGGTGCATATTTTAATCTCCTGGAATGAAGGAACCTGTCTTTGCCTTGTGTCCTAGTGGAAGACTCCGTTGGAGGGCAGAGGAGCATGTGGTCCTCCAGATGCATCCACAAAAGCAGTGGTTCTTAACCTTGGGTTACTCCGGTGTTTTTGGACTGCAACTCCCAGAAATCCCAGCCAGCACAGCTGGTGGTGAAGGCTTCTGGGAGTTGCAGTCCAAAGTAAAGGCTTCTGGGAGTAACCCAAGGTTAAGAACCACTGCACAAAAGTATAGTTTCCAAATCCTGTGTGGTATTAGTTCCCCTCTATTTAACACTAGTTAGGCCTAATCTTGGGTACTGTGTTCAGTTCTGGACATCACACTTCAAGGAAGATGCTGACAAGTTGGCACACGTTCAGAGGAGGGAAACATGGATGATCAGGGGGCTGGAAACCGAACCCTATGTGAAGAGACTGAAAGAACTGGGCATATTTAGCCTTGAGAAGAGAAGGTAAAGGTAAAGGTTCCCCTTGACATTTTTAGTCCAGTCGTGCCTGACTCTAGGGGGCGGTGCTCACCCCGTTTTTCAAGCCGTAGAGCCAGCGCTTGTCTGAAGACAGTTTCCGTTGTCACGTGGCCAGCGTGACTAAGGAACGCCGTTTTACCTTCCCACCGAGGTGCTACCTATTTATCTACTCGCATTTGCATGCTTTCGAACTGCTAGGTTGGCGAGGAGCTGGGACAAAGCGACGGGAGCTCACTCCGTCGCATGGATTTGAACTTATGACTGTTGGTCTTCTGACCCTGCAGCACAGAGGCTTCTGTGGTTTAGCCCGCAGCGCCACCACGTCCCTGAAAAGAGAAGACTAAGGGGAAATATGACATTGAGTCCAGCGCCTGCCAAGGAGGCACAGTGGGGAACTGAACTCCCAACCCTCAACCACCGATCCATGCTCCTGAGAACCTTTTGGACTTCCAATGCCGTTCTTTGTCTGGAAGAGGTGCTTCAACCCCTACTGTAAAAATTAGAGATGTTGGATGCTAAGAATTTAATCTTCTCCATTGCTCTTGCCAGTGCTTTTGTTCACTTTCTTTTCATGGAGTGGAAGAAATGCTGGCCTTTATTTAGAAGCTCCCTGTTTGATTAACCACGGTGCTCCTAGGAGACAAGCCAGCCTGTGTAACCTCGGGATAGCTGCACAAGTCTCAGGGCAACTTCCCCCCGCCAGAAGAAGGGGATGGTCAACAACTACTGGGTATTCTTTACCTAGGAAACCCTGGAAAGGATTGCCATAAGTCAGAATCGACTTGACGGCACGCAATTATTATGACATCCTCAGGGGAGGGACTGTAGGAGGGAGAACTAATCTTAGAAGCAGAGAAGGTATGGGTGCAGTTTCCTTTTAAAGGACCTTAATATAAGCTCTGTTTGTTTGCTGTAAGCTGGCCTAAGCAGCTTTCCAGAGCATGTGATGATTGCAGAACAAAGGACTGGTGCTCACATCTTGTTGTGTTTGTTTGAGATGGCACCCTGCCCCATGTGTCTTTTCAAGAAGACAGAAAGGGATTTGCCACATCAGCACATGTAGAAAATGGATCTATTGTTTCATCTCATGGACCCTGACGTTGGGAAAGAGTGAAGGCAAGAGGAGAAGGGGACGACAGAGGATGAGGTGGTTGGACAGTGTCATTGAAGCAACCAACATGAATTTGACCCGACTCCGGGAGGCAGTAGAAGACAGGAGGGCCTGGCATGCTCTGGTCCATTGGGTCACGAAGCGTCAGACACGACTTAACAACTAAACAACAACAAGGATGAATTTATGACCATAACGGTCATAATGGTAATTGTGTGCTGTCAGATCAGTTCCGATTTATAGCAACCCTTTCCAGAGTTTTCTGGGTAGAGAGCCCTCAGAAGTGGTTTCCCATTCTCTTCCTCTAGGGGGCGCTCTGGGACTCTGCAGCTTGCCCAAGACCACATAGGCTGGCTCTTCTCTCAGGAGATATAGTAGGGGATTGAACTCCCGACCTCTCGCTCGGCAGCTAACTCAACAAGCAATGCAGCCAGCTCCCAAGTGAGGATCAGAGTTAGATGCCAGGTTAGGATTACTCTAACGGGAATCTGGACCCAACCGCTAAATTAACCCAACTCTTGAAAGCTAAACACAATTCAATGTCTCCACTTACCAAACTCTAAAGATAATCTGACCCCAGACATGAGACTTAATGCCAACCTTGATCCAGCTCTAACCCCAACTCTAATTTGATCCTTTTGAAAAGATGATAAACATTTCAGATTACTAAATACAGTGGTGCCTCGATAGACAGTTACCCCGCATGACAGTTTTTTCGGTAGACATTGACTTTTTGCAATCGCTATAGTGATTCGCAAAACAGTGATTCCTATGGGGGAATTTTGCTGGCCAATGTTTGGTCCCTGCTTCGCAAACTGATTTTCGCTAGACAACGATTTTGACAGCTCCCTCCGCGCTCGCAAAACAGGTGTTTTCGGGACCTAAGCTTCACAAGACAGTGATTTAAACAGCTGATCGGCGGTTCGCAAAGCGGCTTTCCTGTGGCCGATCTTCGCTAGACAATGACGATTCTGTGTGACGCATTAAACAGGTTTCAATGCATTCCAATAGGGAAATGCTTTTCGCTAGACAATGATTTCGCTAAACAGCGATTTCAGTGGAACGGATTATCATCGTCTAGCGAGGCACCACTGTAATGGAAAGTTATTTAACTTAATACGACGCTGAAAACGAGACATTCCTTTAGAGTTACACAATAGCATCGCAGTCAACACAGGTATTAAAACTCCATGCATTTTAAATACATGTCACTCATATTTTCTCTTTTTTCCCCCCCTTTTCTTTTTGGAAGGAGGTAGCATTCACATGACTGTTGAGGGCGATGCATTCTGACGAGGGGAGGGGTGCAGGTTCAGGCGTAGCTTACGGCCAGCGCCCTGCGTATGGGTGGTTAGGTAAAAAGGAAAAGGAGGAGAGACAGAGAGTGAACATTTTAAGGACTGAAGAGGGAGGTGGGAGGGGTGACTCAAAGGCCAAGACTGGTTTGCCCCAGGCACCACAAAAGCAGATGTTGCTCAAGCTCACACCTTGAGCCTTAAGTAACCCAACTCCGCCCCTCCCTGGCCCCGGTTGTATTCTTCCTCTAGGGAGCAGTGGCTGCTTCTCGCTTCTTACAGTAGCTCTGATCCCACCTGGCTGACACCATCATGCATCTCTTGGCTCTTTGCTTGCTTCTTCCTCTCCTGACTCCAGGTAAAATGCTGTTGTGTGGCTTGATTTTTATAGGCTGGACTCTTTAGTGGGGTTGTGGGTGGGGCGTAACCCTTGGCCCCTTCCAACCAATTTTAACCCCAACCGATGCAGAGTTTGGATGTCGTGTTTCTTAGTATCTGCCTCAACCTTTTGGCCGATGTCAAGTGACATGTTAGAATCTCTTCAGGTTCAAGATTTTCCCTCGAAGTTTCTTCGCAAGCCATGCGCCGAATGGGTGATGGGGCAGGCAGCTTCTGGATGAGGTCCTTGTTGCATGCCCTGTATAGCTGCGGCTTGACCTGGCGCATATAGCGCATGTTTATATCCAGCTGCGTTTTGTGCATAAAAGCTTCAGCAGACATTCTCTGCCTCTCTAATGCAAAGTCAGCTCAAAGTCAGCTCAGAAGCATCTCAGGGTCACTTTCACATGCCAGTTGGCAATGCTAGATGAGAAAGTTTGAATGTTTATCTGACTTACGGACTCTTGATTCTGATCTGTTTCCACTTCCTTGATTAGGATTGTAGAAGGGGTGTTGAAAGAGAATTTCCTTGTAACCATGTCAAGCAGAGTAAGATTCATCTCCATAAATAATAAGGGCATCAGATGATGATGATAAAGAATGACAGAAAAAAACGTTTTTTGTGTGTATATACTGTATATATACACACTAGCTAGTCTTATAATTTACTGCCCCCCTCCCATGTCTGTAGCCTGATATGGAAATTAAACAGTCAAAATTTGTTTCTTGGCATGGATCTAAGATTGTAGGAATCGTGTCACTTGCTTAACTTCCAAAAATCCGGCTGTTCATAAAAGTAGAGGAGCCGGAGAAAATCTTCCATACAAATTAGTATGAGGATTACTGAGATAAAGCATGTGCTGGGGGGCAAAGTATTCCTTGTTTAATTACGTCCCTTGCTTAATTACGTTGTAAACTGCCCAGAGAGTGGTCTAGCGCTATGGGGCAGTATATATTTAGAAACAACAAAGAACATTTCATTTAAAGTTTAATGCTTCTTTGTGTGCATATTAAGTATTACTATCATCTTGAGTGTGTGTGTTTGTGTGTGACATTTACTTGGACATGTTTTCTTGGAAATTTGAAGGGTATATTTTTTCCTATGTCCTTTTGTTCCAACATCTTAAGGATTTGTAGATGTGCCAGCTGAACATACATGTTCATTGACTGTAACTTCCTTCTGAAAAAGTGGTGCCCTAAACTCAGTGGTATTTTTTTT